CCTTGCCTTATCGCCACCCTCTCCTCTCTCTTCCTCTCTCCTCTCTCTTCCTCTCTCCTTCTCTCTCCTCTCTCCTCCTCTCTTCTCTTCCTCCTCTTCTATCTCCTCTCTCCTCTGCCGTGGCCCGCCCGGCCGCGCCACACTGCCCCAAGGGCCCCCGGAGTGGAGTAGTCTACTTTATTGACCGCACCCCGCAACCCTCTTTTCTCTCAAGTCTCCAAATTACGAAAAGTTTGCCACGCCGTTTCCGCCCCTCCTCGAGCTTGGCGGGCGTGGGCTGGGCGGGCGTGCACCGCTGCTGCCGCCGCCGCTGGGGAGAAACAAGTTGGAAATTCGGTATAGCAGTCGTGTGCGGGAGGGAGACGGCAGGGGCCGATGCGACCCCACACGCAGGATGTCTGCCCCTTATTACTGAGGGCGAAGTGGACAAAGCCTGGCCAAAGTGGGCCGGGCTGCCCCCGGCTGCCCCCGGCTGCCCCCGACAGGCTGGAGAGGGAGACGAAAAATAATATATATATATGGAACCGGGGGGTGGTGGGGGGCATATTTCAGCCGTCTCGTCGTCTGCTTGGAGGAACAACACACAACTTATGGTGTTGTGTGCGTCCTGCTGCAGGGCGCGTCGTGCACGGCCGTGATTACGTAGAAGGGCCTAGCTCCGCTCCGCCCCGCCCCGCCCTACACGCCCGCATTCCAAACACGTCACGGCTCTGACGAATGGAATGTCACTGGGTGTTTGTTCCCCGACGGCACCGGAGGAGCGGGCGGCCACACGACGATGGGGCAGAGGCTCCCATACAGCCTGTCGTCCGGCCGTGACCTCGTTCATAATCGGCCGAAAGGCGTCGCCATGCGTCAGGCGTCGCCCGGGCGTAAGCGGCTCAGGGGGGATACTGTATGGGGTGCGGGGTACTCGCCCCCCTGCTGCTGAGCCGCTTACCGCGGGCTGGGCGGGGTACTTTATTCACGGACGGGGACGAGCCAGCCACCCAGCCACCCTCGCCCTGCAGAGTACCTGGCCTTCCAGTGGCCACAACTCCCCCTCCTCCTCCTCTGGCCTTGGTGGTGACCATAGACCCAATGGACGGGGTATGATGGAAAAACGTCACAACCAAGCGCCCAGTGATTCTGAAGGTGACGGGGAGGGTTCACTGTAAAAAAAAAAAAAATGTTGTGCCCAGAAACAGAATCCGTACAGATCGTCTGTACTTTTGTACTACAGTCATAATCTCTTCGACTGATATTTGAGAGACAGTAATAAACTATGCTTGAAAAACACTTTTCTCAAGTTTAAGACCATTCTGTAGTGATTTATTGTTGTAATTTTTAATCGTGGCCACCGTCGCACTTTGCCTCCGCTAGAGACAATTTTGGGGACTGTCCAAACAGGTAATCTACCATACTGATGTTGGAAAATAAAAGTTTTGTGGGTTACTAAAGGGTTATGGTTCGACGGAAAACGGGCTCGTCGCCCATTGCCCCCCTCGCCCCCCTTCCGTCCAGTGTGTCACTCTAGGTGCCACACCGAACGTGGTGGCCTCGGGCACGTCGCCCTGCCCCGCCCCGCCCCGCCCTATGGCCGCCTATGGCGCACGTCTTTTTGTTTCAACTCCGGCCCTAATGGCCCCGGCGCCCTGCGGGGCACACCTAGAGTCCATCAATCTGAGAGGTCAGACTCTGCGGCGGCACGCGTGAGCACGCCGCCCCAAAGGACCGTGGCCGGCCGGACCCGGTGTCCTTTCAGACGACGCTGGCCTTCGCCCCTTTTCTCTTTTTTCCCCGCCTCGCTCTTTCTTTTGGCCAAAAGCGAGAGGGCTTTTGCGAGGTCCGCCCTCCCCCCAGCCACCTATGGTCCTCCGAGAGGTGTCACTGGCAGGTGTGTTCCCGCTCGCCTGCTCGGCCTGGAGGGCGCGCGTTTTTGTTTTGTGAGGGGCGGACAGCTCCCCGGCATTCATTCATACACCCCCAGGACAAGGAGGCCGAGGCCGAGCTGCGGCGGCCCTTGGAAAATCTGAAAAGGGGTCATGTGGGTGACGTAGGGCGGAGTCTATATAAGTGGAAAAAGGAGGAGGACGCCCACACCCCCCACCCCCTACCCCCCGGGGGGCGCTCCAGGATATGAGACACTCCACAAGGACGTGCGACGCGCCCCCCACCACCACCTCTTCTTCTTCCCCTCCAGCTCCAGCTACCCCCTTGCTGCGGCGGCTGGATCGTGGCGGTTGGCAAGCTGTGCCAAATTTTGTACACCGAGAGAAACTTGTGCCAGGCCGCGCCCACAACCGCACACCACCATACCCTACTCGCATTGCGAGTTTCGGTGGGCGACATTTGTTCTGTGTCTCAGTCAGCCAGCGGTTTGTCCTGAACGAATGCATTTATGAAAGGTTAAAAGTATTGTGCAAAGAATGACTTCGAATCTCATCGTGTCTCGAACTTCCAAGGCGTGACATGACGACGATCCAAGCACAGAGTCTAGTTTGAACTACGAAAGTTCGAAAGTTTACCGTCTTGTTTTCTCCGCCAGAGAGGAGGGAGGGGGGGGG